TGAGTCAACCCTGAGCCGGTGAGATTTGAACCGCTGACCTGCTGATCTAGCAGTAGCCTGCAGTGCTGCATTTAACCACTGCGCCACCTTGGCTCTTTATACGTATATACCCCATTGCAATCATACTCAGATTTTCAGCATCTGTGTATATGCAACAGAGTCTTATTGGGCATATTTTTAACAGAATAAACATTGACGAATATGTCTCTCTCTCTCTCCGTCCCTCCCTCTCTCCTTCATGCACATACAAAGTTTTGGCATGAAATGTATTTAGTGTTTGGCCAACAGACAGTGTGGTCAAAGTCTTCTGACCATGCGTCCTGGATGAATTATAGGCCCTTTCATCATTTCTGTGTTTAAATGCTTATCAATCCATCCTCAAGTCAGCAGAAAAAAATATTTCCATGGAAATTGCAGTCTATGTCCTTGGCAATCTATGTCCTTCATTATTATCTCTGTTCCAAGTCATTGCTGAAAAGTGCTGTCCTGATCAGATATATGTGCACCCTGACATAAACAAAGTGATAAGCACAATATGAATTATACATATTGTGCTATATGATAGTCATGTGTTTATAGCTAAGAATCAGTTGCATGCAGCCGGAACAGTTTTCATGTATACAATAGTGCATCATTTGGTAAACTAGTTCAGTTCTACTGCTGTTACACAAATTCAAAGAACCCAGTATAACATATTTATATTTATATTCAAAGTAAAAATGAGGTAGGAAGTGGCACAACCACTGCTTCCACCCTCCAATCCTTGTTAATGAAACAGTAATAGCATTAGCGCTTAGACTTAGATACTGTTTCACAGTGCTTTTATAACCTTATCTAAGCAGTTTACAGAGTCAGCATACTGCTCCGAACAATCTGGGTCCTTCAATAGGAGTGTATTAATTTAGCCAAGTCACCATTTGAATTGAAAGATTCTGAGATAAACATTTTCTGGTAAAAGAAATAATATGTAAGGAGTATAAAACTCAGCAAGGTGCCAATTATCTAAAATGATTGTCTATATCATATTAAAATATTATTCATGAATATCAATCATCAATATTATTTTTTATTTTCCACTTGATAAAAAAATTCCATTCCAATTAAATGTAATGATTTAAACAGTGGAATGCTTATCCTAGCACTGAAACAACTGTGGATTTCTGGGGCTGCCTGAGCTTGGTTGTTTTCTTGCAGATGTTTCAGTACCAAACTAGGTAACGCCATCAGTGCAAATTCTGTTCTACTCTAGAAAATGTAACAATTTTCTCAGCATTTACTAACAGTATTGTGACCTGTGACAGCAAATGAGAATTTACTGCACATTTTACCTCTGGAAATCACTAAAAAGATATTTATTTATTACCTGTTTCCAAGTGTTTCCTATTTATTTCAATACTTTACTTGCTGCTTGCCGGTAAGGTTGTCTTTTCAAACAGGTAATAACATAAGGAAATGTCTAATGTATGACCACAAGATGGTGCTGATATCTTGAGAATATATTGTAAAATGCATGCGCTTAAGTTTACAGAGAGCAAAAGGTGTCTCATGTTCATTGAGGAATTTTCACAAGATCCCTCTGAAAGTTAAAACTAACTTTGGATCTAACTGCACAATGGCATCTGGTTTTGAGCAATTAGCCAAGTTTATTTGCTTGAGACTGAAAATGATTGAGTTTCATTTGTTTCTTTTGCAATGCTATTCCCTTAAATGAGAATAAGCAAACAATCTATCATTGGAAGGAATTGAACTTCAGCCGTTCTAGGCATTTTTATTTTATTTTATTATTCTGATGGTTTTGCAAGTCTGCATCATAGGAGGTAGACATATAATTTCCTTTTCAAAACATGGCAAAAGAAATGCAAATAATATAAATTCATGGATGACATGTATGTCTGTTTGTAAGAAATTAATATGTTTCTCTTTGATGCACCATGTATGTGAAAGGATGTTTGCTTTTCCAATACTTTTTACAGCCCAGTTCAGGAAGTGATTATTTTTGTTCTCAGCATTACACAGCCAACTTTTGAGGAACTGAAGAGATGAAAACAGAGTCAGTGTAAATGTATTCTAATGCAAGTCCATCTGGCACAAGTACTTGTAGCATCATATGACTATCTTTTCAGATAAATGTCAAATGAACTCTGGCAATCAATGGGGTCAAGGATGCCATAGTCAGATTGTCCTCACATGCATTAGATAAATATATTTATTTTAAAATTTTCTGAAATATTTTAAGTTAAATATTCAGCTTCTGATATTTATCTTAAAGCAAAGTAAAGATATAATATTTACAAGGTTACATATATCACACTCCATTTTGGCTGTCCACTTCAAGCCCAAAATATTTCAGAGTTATTAGCTAGTTTTGAATTGAACCAGCGTTCCTAATGCTGGACAGGGACATCAATGAATCAATGTGATTAAGGCAAAGACCTTATTTTTTTTCCTTCAGTGTCAAACTCAGCTTATCAGCAGTCATCTCCCAGAAGCAATTTACTTCAAGGTTCTCTGAAAACTTAGTAGTAGAAGCCCCTGTTGAGAATGCACAAATGTTTCTATGTTATCACTAAAAACACCATAATGGAAATTTGACTCATACAAAAGACTCCCGCAGCCAGAATGCTGGAGAAGGAGAAACTCCAGTAATCTCAAGGTCAGATAATGGAGAGGAAGACATCGACCAACTCTGCTTTAGAAAATCCTTAATAATGTATCAATGGGTCATTAAAATAAGGAAGAGTTAAGGGCAGATGAGTGCCCTTGGAGTGATTCACAAGGAGTATCTTCTCTGATTACTAGACCACTTGTGAGCAAAATACTATATTGTCACTCAAGAATGGAATATGCTACAAAAGTAAGCAGCAATTACAAGCAATGGTGATTTATTGAATTGAATCACTCTATATGAAATTATCTTGAGAACTTAAGCTACTTTCCTTCCACAAACCCCGATTCTACAGGTTAATTAGGATCAGAACATATGTATATCAAGGCTTCATTATTTAGAACAGCAGTCCCCAACTTGGTGGTCAGCCAAGCCATGTGAGCAGCATACGCATGTGTGCAGCTCAACTTGTATGAACAGCAGACCAACACACATGTGCATGTGCACATTTAGTTGTGAATAGGCCGCAGCCCGATAGTAGGCCACAGCCTGGGAGCTGTGGAACCCTGATTTAGAAAATGTTCTGTTTTTCATTATAACCAGTATAACTAAGTAGATTGGTGTAAGAGCTGAAACTAGCCAGATTTCATTCACAGACAGAATTGCTACATAAACATTTAGTAGTTATCTCTAACTTTTAATGCCAGAAAAAGAATGGCCAAAGTCTGTTGACACTCAAAAGGCAGGATGGAAAGATATAGAATTGAAACACTTGAGACAATTATATCCAGGATTTCATTTTTGTATTCATTAGAAGCAGATCTTCTGCATTTATATAACATTTTATCTACCATAAAGCAATTTATTTAGCCAAGTTGTATCTGTGAAACTTCTGCTACGAGACTATGATATAGGTTGTCTACCTGATATGTTAAAATGTATTGCCTTGCAGGTATGAATTCTTGCAAATAATAGCACATAAAACCTTGAATTTACTGGGTTTAAGCAGCCCTCAGATGTAGAAGAGAAAATCCACTACTTTATATTGAATATGTACATGAAAAATATGCATATGTAGGGTCCTATTTGGGTTTAATGGGCATTTAAGTCTAACAGGCATCCATTATCCTCATTACTTCATTAAGTAAAATATACACCGTATCTACTGGGGCTTTCAAGATATACTCATATTGTATCAATTGTTTTCACATCATGATACAGCATAATGTTGGTTTTTGGTGCAATGTATGATTTGTATATTGAGATTTATGGATTATTATGTTGGATGTATGTCAGTATGTATTAGTATGATGGATTAGTATATATAGTATATTGGCAACAAAAACTTTTCACTTGTCCATCAAATCACAATTAAACTCAGTTTTAGTCTATTATGATATATGAATCTAGTCAATAGGTCAATTATGATGATAGTTAATACAATCTCATTTACCATGAACAAGACATAGCCATATAAGCATTAAAAAAAGGACAACTGTCACTAAGAGAGAACCTTGTTTATTAGTCTTCTACATCTAAAAAGTTACTGTATAGGCTAAGCTTACATATGGATAGCTTAATTAGCCCGAGGCTGATGACGTTCGATTATTGTGAATTAAAATTTCTGAAGTTCCAGCAAAATGCTGATTGATCTTGAAATCTTGTGTATCTGTTGGGAACGAGTTTGTGAATAACTATAGCAGTCTGTTCTTTTCATCTGTACCAGGGGTGGGTTCTTCCTGGCTTTGCTGTCAGTTTGCACACAGTTCAATTAAAATTGTTCTGTGAATGCACAGAACCAAAAACAAGATGGCGGTGACAGCAAGAGAACTGGTCCGGGGTCATGACAGTCCTGGGTTGCTGTAACTGGCAGTGACCCAGGCCTATCATGCCCCTGGGCCAGTTCTCTTGTTGAAACTGGCAGTGACCCAGGCCACTACCGGTTTGGCCGAACTGGTAGAAACCCACCACTGATCTGTACATATAATGTAATTTTTTATGCAAAGATGTTAACAGAAAGTTTCCAATGATTTGTACAACTAGGAAACAATGTACTGGTTTCTGCCAAGTCTGAAATATTTTCTGATATTGATAACACGTAGCAACGAGTTGTCTATCAAGAAAAAAACCTGACATTTCAGAAAAAGAAATCAAACTGTTTTGCTAGTGTTGTCACATAAAATAAGATGATCTATGTTAGGATATCAACTAAGCAGGAATCATTTCGATTATTTGTTAAAAGGGATCCTTGTGTTATTTGTTAACAGAAGGAAAAGTGACAGCATGGCTTCTGCGATATTACCAAATAAAGCTAGTTTGATAAAAAATAATAATCAAAGTTTTATAAGATTGGAAAGTGTCTCAGATTGTCTGGGTTTTCACATGGAATCTTTCAAGATTTTAGACATTTTCTTTTTGTTTAGACATTTTAAACCCTTTTATTATAAAAAAAAATGCATGGGAAAATTTTGAGGGTTTTTAAAATTTCTTGATGCCTTCAACATAATACAAAAAATAACAAACTCAAGAGCTCTTTAAGCTGCTAATTCTGCCACCCAATTGTAAGACTATTCATGCTTTACAAAAATTTTTAAAAAAACATGAAGTAGTTCTTAATGGTGATGTTTATCCAATTTTTTTTATTTTTAGGATTTTTTTCTATTGCTTTTAGAATAGTCTCAACCAGAAATAATAATCACAAAGTAATACTGATCTGTGTATAAGTATAAAAAATGTAGAGGGAGAAAGAGATTTACATAGATATATTCTTTGTTTTGACTTTCTCTGTGTATGTATGTATTCCTGTATGTGTGTATGCATTTTCTTTGCCTCTCATTTTATTCTTTCTAGTTGTAGTGTCTCCTCCCAATTGGTTTTCTAAAACAATAATAATTGTCCAAAGAGTATTGTCAGCAGAACCTTTACTTGAGCTCATCTTATGATAGGACCATTCAGTAACCCCAGCTGAAGCCTTTTATGGCTATACTTTATCTGTAAGGCAATGCTGATACATCATATCAGACAATAGCAAAATAACATGGAACATTTTCATTACAGCAAAATATATTGAGTTTCACTTTCAAAATAAAACATTAATCTCACTGGCATCTCCCATTACTGAATGAACAGGACATTAAAAAAACAATAATAAATGAACTTCACATGTCATACATTGTTGTTTTGTCCTTCATAGTCCAATGCTCCATGTCTCTGTTTCAAGACATTTCCAAAAGGATGAATATTTCCTTTTCCAGATGTTCTTGAAAAGTATTTCTTAAATTACAACAATCACTACTTATTTATATGAAGTCTCTATTTCTGTCTGTATGTGATTCAGCAGAGAAATGGGACAAACTCGCTGAATCTGCGGCAATGTTTCCTGTGAAACATAAGATCCAGTGCATGTGGAAAGTCTGCTATATCAGAAAACAAAAATTCTACTATACGTTGAAATTGCTTCTTTAAAACTGCAACTGTTCCGAGGCCTAAAGATAGAATGTAAAGGCAGCACCTTTTCAGAAAGACATACGAGAATAAATTTGCCAAAATAAAACTTTGTGTTTCATTTCCTAGTCAAGTAAGCTGTTCCCTTCCAAGGGGTCAGACCATCAATTGCATGAGATCAGCTGGATAACACTGACTATGATACAAGTTCTCAGTTCACAAGATGAAACATACAAATCTCTGAATGTACCCTATGAAAGCATTTATTTCTTTAAGACGTCATGACTTTGCTTCTGTATTCCCAGTCCATTAAGAGAACTCTTCTCTATCAACATCAAACCACAAGGGACATCCTTGTTGGGAATTCGTTCTGAGAAAACAAGAAAAGAGAAGCAAAAATATAAAATATAAAAGCAATCAAGAAAGATGGGGTATAACATACCAATGTTTTACTTCCTCCTCCCAAAAAAACATAAAATGAAATAGGTCAAACATTTCTGCCATATTATATGCCTAATATACACCTGCACAGCCCTTCAATTGAAAATAATGAAAAATATAGAAGGGTTTCATGTTGTATTCCCCTTTTTGGGAGTTAAAAATCTCCCAAGTACACACTCCATCAAAGGGGCTCTATGTTTTCCTCTTCTCCTTTAAAATAATGATCCCCTAGCAATACAATAGTCAGTAGCCTAAAACATTGTGTGGTCAAGTGATTATTCTTTCACACAAAAACAAGAAAGGCTTCACTTCAAGAGCAAGGGACCTTTATATGATATAAATAAAGAAACAAAATAAAAGGAAGGCTCTTCAACTATTTTTATATGTTAAGGCATATTCCCTTTCCTCCTTTTTTCTTTTACTCCATGTGAAACAGGCAAAAAATCGCTGTGCTTCTTTTCACATGGAACACACAATTCAATGAAATCAAACATTCAGCCTTCCTTTAAAAAAAGTTTTTTCCCAATGGCTTGGAAAAAAATATATTTATCCATTTCCGAGTTAGTCTAGGAAGAGACAAGAGACAAAATAAGTAACAGAATGAAGTGGCCATTTCACGCCAAGGGACTATCCTATAAGGTATAATTTATCTGGAGGCTTGTCATGTGCTAATTGTAATCAATATGGATTTTTCATTGATTTGTTTAATGTTCATTATATATAATGATCATGAAAAGAAAGGTGGCTATGAATCAATTATTTATTCATTCATAGGAACCTTAAAAACTTGTTTGAACAGTTTGTCGTCATTCCATTAAACTGTTTTCTCATAAGCACAACCTGAAGTTTATATTTAATATAGGTAGTCCTCATTCAGGGATCACAATTAGAACTGGTAACTCAAGCAGGAAGTGAAAAATCATGTGAATGCAACTGTCTTTATCTTATTGCTTCAGATTTTTTTATGCTTCACAGAGCCTGAAGGATACAAATGCTTATATAGCCCCTTTTCCCTACTCCCTTGTCTTTCAGAATGTTCTCCCCACCACTAGGATAATTAGCAAGAACAAAAACGATATTTGCATTTACATTCAATAAAGCGGAAGGGAATACAAGAGAGTAACAGACACACAATGCACTACATCAAAAGGAATGCAGTAGACCCAGCTTTTTGCTTAGCATATTCCCAGCTGCCAGCCAATAGCTGCCCAAGAGACAAACAAAAGCCTTTAGTGTTAAACTGATTTGGATCTTGTCAGTTTCAGGCAGCAGCTGTGAGTTGCATGGTTCTATCAAGTAATGAAGATCACAGAGCTGAGCCTGTTAACTTGTGGTTAGCATTTTTAGCAATGCACTGTGCTGTGATGAAAATTTTGGTTATGGACAATTATTGTGCTTTGTGAGTGGGGGAGGGAGGAAAAAGTGATTAGGCATAGAACAATATGTAATACTATAATGGCAAACATGTGACTGAAAAACAGATGCTGTGAAATTCATAAATGTGGATATTGATCACAAAATTACTTTTCATCATAGTTGTAACTGTGAATGGTCACTGACCAAGGCAGTCACTAAAAAGGATTATCTGTATACTCAGATTTTTAAGGAATACACTTGATTTACTCTTCACAAATCTGGTTCACCACAAGGCTGTCAATGGAAACCAATGAAGTATCACAAGCAGAAGAACCATCTGAGCAGACTTTAATACAGAATCCTTTTCTTTTTGCTATCATTCTTGTACCACCAAAGCTACAATGTTCAATGGATAAGTTCATATTGTGAATTCACTGTATAACAACTCTTTCAACCATTCAGAAATAGGGCAATATGTCTTTCAAATGTGGCATAATATTAAATTCTTTAACTTAGAGGTGTAAATTAATAAACAATGATCTTTTTATTGATGAAATTAAGATGACATTAAGACAATTTCTATTGAATTCATGGCGTACCCTTCTGCCCATGACACACACTTGCTGAATTCATATTTTGCTTCACTCATATTTCTCTTAATCTATCATACTGAAGTTTGCACTATCCTTTTCATCTGGCCACATTTTTAAATGGGCATTTTTGAATTGTAAAAGCAATATTCCCTGAGGTAAAGAAAAAGTAGTGAGGGGTTGTTGTTGTTTGCCAACTGCAACTTTAACATTAAATCCAGAATACACAACATCTCTGAATCATTCTATCAAAGTGCAATAAACATTCTGCCCATTTATCCCTAGAGCAAGGGAATCAAGCATAACCTCACTGTTTTGGGGGGCTCTTTTTTCCTCTTCTTCTCTGATGAATTGAAGTTAGGTTGTTCTCTGTTTTTGTATGAAGAACCCCGGCTCAATTCCCTCTCACTGTAAGGTGGCAGAATATCTTCTCCTTCCTCTTGTTGTGGAGGTTGTTGCTGCTGCTGTTCTGCCTTATAAGTTGATTGTGGTGACCAAGCATAGTAAGATCCTCCTCTTTGACTGGATTGTGAGCTGAGCTTTGAAGGTGTGTCACTATGTTCACCATTCTCATCATAGCTTCGTGATTTCCTTTCAAGGGCACTAGTGAGGTAGGAGTGATCATATTTCTGACTTCCTCCAGGTGTCCGACACACTAGCCGAGGCAGGTGTTTCTCTTCATGCATACGTCTCCTAGGTGGACTGTATCTCCAACCCCGTTCTGGGTCTGTTATGGGTTCACGATTTCCTCCCCTGCGTTTACTATAAAAATCATCTGAATTCTCCAGATGTTGTATTGGCCCCACCCTTGATCCTGTTCTCTCAAAGTGTCGTGGCTCTTGAGTCGCCTCAGTCCGATGAGCCTGTTGACTGTAAGATTCAGCAAAGGCTGCTAATTCATCCATGGAGACAGCTGGCACTCCGAAAGAAAAACTCTTTCTTGAAAGCATTTCTGACTTTGATCTCTGCTGGCTGGGTAAGAGATAAAAGAGATGCTTTGAATTTTGGTTTAATTTTTTTAGATTAATTATGTAACCTACTTGTCTGTTCAGTCAATGTAAGTAATTCCCAAATGAACATTTGAAATATTACAGCAGTATTATACTTGTACTGGCAGCACCCAAGTGATCAGTGGAAAATTCTTTTTTAACACTGATCGCCCTATTTCTAGAGCAGAGAAAAGTATATACCTAAACAAAGTCATAACTTTTTATCTATGTAGTTTTCTACATCAGGCTACCTGAAAAAGTTATTCTCCAAAGTCTCCAGTAGAGGTCTTTTACCACATGCCCTTTCAATTGGATTTGCAGCTATTGAATTTGGATCCTTTGCCAGGCAAATAATCAACTAAGAGAATATTCCAAATATGTCATTTCTTATACTTCATCTGTCCTCTAAGTTGACGACTATTACTAAGCCAGGCATGTGTTGGGGAAATCCTGATTTGGGAATAGTACATATGACTAAGATCTGACACAGTAGTTGGTTGCCAGCTAAACGAGACAGCAGTATAATATTTTGGGAGAAGAAAAAAGAAATAAAGAGTGGATTGTTCTTTATTTTGTGTCAATTACTTCAAATATCGTTTTATTTCTGAGCACAAAGAAAGTGATGAAGTTATCTACTTCCGCGTTTCCCTGAAAATAAGACAGGGTCTTATTTTCTTTTGAAACCCCCCCCCCAAATAAGTGCTTGGCTTTATTTTCGGGGAGGTCTTATTATTACACAATACATTTTCCGGATAAGACAATGCCCTTTTATTGTGCTTCAACTGTGCAAACTACTTTGTAACTTAGCTTGATTATGATTAAATATACAACTCATCTTTATTTTGTACAACTCAAGATAATATGCATAATGTTCATTCCTCATAACAACAGCAGTGTGAGGTTGTTGAGAGAGTGATTGGCATGAAGTCATCCAACTAACTTTCATGCCTAAGGGAGGGCCAACAATCACAACCTCCCAGTTTCTAATCTAGCGTTTTAACCACTACACCGAACTGGCTTTCCTTGCTTTATCATATCCAGTGCAGTGTATCAGATCTTTAAAATGCCTTATGTTCATACTTGCTATTAATCCATATAAATCAGGAAAGTAAAAATACTGAAAGGCAATAGCCTTCTGTTTACACTTTTCAGCACTAAACCTACCTCATTCTGAAGCTTCCTCCGTGTTCCCTGTAATCAGAACGTGTTTGTGGTCTGGATGCACCACTTCCACTAACAACCCCTGTCCAGTACTCAGCATCACCACCCATGTCTCCTGAAGGAGGAAGTGCTTTCCTGCACACCTGACGGTAAGACTGGCGGAAGTTGGCACCCCCGTCGTGTAAAGAACTGAGCTCTGAGATGGTGTTACTGTCTGGAATGAAAGATTGTAGTTATTGGGAAAGTGTTAGAAAAGGTACAATTTCTTAAGATGCTTATACCACCCTGAACATTATTTGCATAAACAATTTCATTGTTTACTTATGATGTAGAAGAAATTACAAGCAATAGTTCTCAACCTTACTTATTTTAATTTTCACCACTGATTCTGTCAAAAAAAACCTAGCTGCCATGCATGGGGAAAAGTCAATTTTTTCAAATTATATTATACATATAAACTTATGTTCTGCTATTATGTTTATCACTATTAGTAACTGTGATACATTTTAAGAACAAAAAACTTGCATTAGTACCGTGCTCATAAACTTTACCCTATAACTCTAAAAAGAATAGGGGAGATTAACTGGGGTGAAACAGTGTTTGACTTGGGAAACCTTTGCAAATCAGGAACTATTCCAAATAATGAGACATGGCACAAAACGTTTATTTATCTATTTGCTTAATAACAAGCTTATGCTTTCATAAGCTGCTCCAAAGCTAGATGCCAGGAGGTCTTCTGCTGAATGCTCAACTCTCTTTGCCTCACCACATTCAAGTGGAGATTGACTACTTTGCCTTTCATCTATTTGGTCTTCCTTTCTGTTATAAATATACATACAGTATATAAATGGATTCCACAGTACTACTTAATGGGTTCTGTCTGACCAAGGGAAACGTAAAATCATCATCAACAATCTCTCGTTTGGGAAATTTACCAGCATTCTGCAGCATAGAACCTCGTCTTGCAAAGAACAGAATACTTGCTGGCTTTTGGTTTGTAGCTTGCTGGCTGATTTTCTGTACTCTTCCACTAGGAAGAATGTTCTTCCATTTAGTCCTTGGCACTGGTGATGCTGGAAAGGCCTGAGATAATTGACTTAGCACTTCTCCATCTGACTGAGGCCTGAGTGAGAAGGATTCATTTCTTTGGGGCAATGAGAATGTTGCCAGTGTGCTTGTTCCCAAAGAATAAAATAAGATAGCATCATTAGGAATCCCTAGAGAAACTGAGCAATTTAAAGGTCAAGGCCTGCTGCTTGTGTTATATGTGTATGCTTTGTTATACTTGTTGGCATACTGTTGATTATTGCTAAGTATATACAATATCTATGGATATTATGTATGATGCAGGATGTGTGTATAGAAGAATGAGTTTTCAGACAATGGAAGATGTATCACTGGGAGCACAATTAGTCAACTAAAGAAAAACTACAGGCTAAATGTTTGAAAGCTGTCCCAAATCAAAAGTTCCAGGCCATCTTCTGTTATTCTGGTGCTGTTTTAAGAAACCAGGTCACTTGTTACTAATGTTCTACCCATTATTTCAGTGCAGATGAAAGGACTGATTGACATACATTATCAAAAATTGGATGGAGACATTGATAGAATTATTCTCATCCTCTTTGCTAATTTAAGTAATAATTTCAGGGCAACCTGGTTTGGAGGGCCAAGGACAGAGTTTATGATGTTTTCATAAAATTTCATCATTTTTATAAGGAAATATTAACTGTTTCCATGTATTTGGCACTGGAAAAGACAGTAGTATTGCTGGCATATTAATCATTACGTTCTCCAACAACCTCTCTGGCTAAATTGGCTGAAGTGGCCATAGAGGTGACAGTGAAGAAGCAAGAAACATTAATTTGGACTTGTAACATTGCTGTTTGGCAGAACTATTTCGGGTAGTGAAAAGATTCTTCAACAATGACCCAGTAATGACAGCTCCTGAAATGTTAGCTTGTTCACTGTGGTAAATTTGCTAAGGAAGTAGTTTGCAACTATTATAGCTGAATCTGGAGTGATATATACATCACCAACAGTTCATGTTTTAGGGGACAAGTTTCAGTTTCGAGAATTTAGGGTAGCGATATGTTAACCTATCACCTGCAAATTTGATTCTTGTCCATTTTGCTTATTACATCTAGCAGACTGGAACTGATGATATTGATCCAGGGAGAGGTAAATGCATTAGAGTATCTTCTCTGCTGTAAAAGAAGTGGTGGTCTAATCCTTTCTAAAGACCACACCTTAGACTTGGGAGATACTTGAGAACTACTGTCCTATTACAAGTATTATTGCTTGGGCTAAATGCTTGATAGGATGATAAACAATTTCTTTATGAGTTATTGAATAATATTGATACACTAGACCTGTTCCAGTTTGCTTTCAGGCCTTGTTTGGCACTGAAGTTACTTTTGTTTCTTTGCTAGATGACAGATTGAATGGGAAATACAGGATAACTGCAACTTTCTATTCTCTCCTGGATTTAATCTAAGTATTTTGCCATCTACCTCTGAAGTTGAAGGCATTATTTTTCAATGGCTTGGTGCCTACTCCAGAAACAATTAAGGGATTACAGAGTTCCTGACTCCAAATCCATTTTATCACTCTTGTTTATCTATATTAATTCATTGGTGTTATCATCAGTAGATTTGGAGTTGAATATCACTTTTATACTGATGATATCTATAGCTCTAACTGGTACAGTTTTTTTATAGATTACTTTTTCTTGGAATTGGATAAATAACCAGAAGCTGAATCCAACAAGATGGAAACACTGTGGATTGATTGTCTAAGAACTGGAAAAATCTTCGGTTCTGGGTGAGATTACTATTTATTCCCTATGAAGGAGGTGGAATACAGAGTTGGGATATTAGATTTTCTTCTGTCACTTGAATGCTGGCAGCTGCAACCCTTCTGATCATGGATAATCCATGTCCTGGTAACATATGCATATTTGAATTATTGCAATGATATGGGTCTGTTACTCTGGGTCTGTTCTTGAAGATGGCAGGAAAAATGTTGCTAATATAGAATGCAGAAATGATTATTGCATTGCCTACTTAACTTAGATTTCTTCCTTTATTTAGATTTTATGGCTGTTATAAGTTTCCTTGAAAAGTTTCTTTGAACAGTGGGCAAGCTATACATTTTTTAAAGAATTAATGTCTTTTAAGTCTAATTTAAAGATTGGTCCAGTTTAAAAATATTGCAAAAATGACTGCAGATCAGAGCTAAATAGAGAGGGAGGGGGAGTTCAGAAAAAAAATTCCATAGAAACTACATCTTAAAAAATGGTGCCTTTATAGTGAAGTCTGCTTATAGAACAGCATATCAAACCAATGTGACATTTATATTATAATGTGAACATTTTGATATGCATTATTTTTACGGTGTCAGAAATATGGTATCTCAGTAATACTTTTTCTGGAATGGTAAATGCAGCTTTTCACAATGACTTGATGTTTTCCACCCATCACCCCCATTGCTTATCCCACAGCATGTAATGACATTTGGATCCGAGGCATTCCAATCTGGAGGGAACCTTTTTATAGTATTCTCAGTGGGTGGAAATGGCAGCATGTTCAGTGATGAGTGTTGTAGAACACCATGTAATTTGCTAGTTTTTTCTCAGAACTGTGTTTAAAGTCATTCCTTCAGTCTGCCTGTCAATTGATTGAGGCAGCCTGCATGTCTGAGACTGCTAGAACGTACTGGCTCTTCTAAAGTGAGTCTATTGAATGTGTATGCTAAAAATAGACAGCAGCAATTATTATTTTTTACATAAAACTCCCTGTATTCATCAAATCTGAGAGAGCTAAACGAGTCAATGTCTTGGGTTACTATTTTGTTTCATTTGAAATGATTGCTATGTACAGATAGATATGAAATAAAGTATCCGTGAGTAGCAATTTGTGGGCATGCACCTGCTATAATATTATTTAGGAAAAAAACACTTCAATGAATGACTCAGTTATTCACAGTGGAACTTATTGCATGGAAATGGTAATATAGCTAATTTATCTTCTTCCTAAAGTACTTGTTAAATCTTTTTAAAATCTGGTTTATAAAAAAAAAATTGGTTAAGAGTGGATTGTATTATATATTACTAGTTTATGACATAAACAATATTTAAACTACTTTTAAAAAGGAAGCCATATATGATTAGCTAAGCAACAGAGGAAATAGGCAGTTCTAATCCTTGATTCTTATTTTAGTAAAAGGACTTATTTTATACAGCATTACAATTGCATGCAGGGGCTCATTTAATTGAATTTTTTTGTACTTATTGAAAAAGTCATGTGAAAGTTTCAACCTCCTTCCAACTGCAATATATGAACTAGATAACATGTTTATGTAACTTAATTTACACAACTAACAGATTTATCAAACATCCAGAAAATTTTTCCTAAGGATTTTTGAAAAGTAGCCCAATTTTTTGGAGGGGGCAGTTCTAACAACACCTGGAACCAGCATTACCTAAGGATAGAATATGGTGGTGAGCATGGCAGTGGGAAGTCTATGTTAAAAATCCCATAATATTTTGAATTGAAGAAAGGACAGCATTAGTTTGAAATAGTTGATAAAATTGTTTCTCACATCTCTCTCGCATCCTTCTGGCTGGGTCAAACTGAGCCAATTCTTTCTCAACATAGTACAGCACCTTCATAGAATCTCTGTCTTTGTCAGTTTGTATTCGGTAACCCTTGTGCACTGCATAGAGAAGTAAGTGATTAGTAAATGTATTCTTTCTAGGACACAAATATTTAATATTCCATTAGGAGGTCATTGTGCTATGATGTATAACTATCCTACGAGTTTTTAAATATTTAGGAATATGTTTTATTAAATAATAAACTTTCATTATCTACTGATGATGAGGAGGTTCCCAAGTCCACTTCAAAGTGCTGCTTGTCATCTTTAAAGCCCTGCTTGGGTCAGCTTCGATCTGTCCTCTCTTTACCCTAGCTTTCTCCGAATTTCATCTGCTCATTCAGTAACATCTGACAGAGAGAGCTTGCTGGGAATCCCAGCATCAATGGAATGTAATCTTCACTGACTTCAGAATTCAAATTTTCGTCATGGTTTTCCTATTCTTTTGGAAACAGAAACATTCCCAACTAGATATCTGCCACAACTACTCCTAAATTCATATTTAGACAGTCATAAAACATAGCTCTTCATTTGAGGGAGGGAGAGAGGGAGGGAGAGATAGAGAGAGATTACCACTTTGTGTTCCTGCACCAGATTCACTTGGTGCCAACGGAGGTAGATGTGACTTCTCCACAAGGACAGCATGAGATGGGACGCCACTACCCAAAACAGTAGGGATACAGTATGGACCTGGGATTGATGTGACTGCTGGAGGATATCCAGCTTTTGCAGCTTTTCCTGCTTCATACACTGAAAAAAGAGTAACAAACAATACTTAAAATATATCAAGCAGCAGCTGTCCTTTCCTTGTTTAGCTAGCAGATGACCCAGTCGATATTGGCTAATGTGAAAAATGAAGGAGGATTGGATCTGATCCTGATTTGAATTGGAGGCCATGAGGAAATCTCAGGTGTGTAGGCTACATTGGAAATGGAAATAGAAAACCTAAAATCATTAGCTGAGCACAACTCAGAAGATTTGTCAGACTAGCTTTCCTCAATCTTGGAAACCTGGAGGAGATAGGATATGTAGGAATAAACATTATAATGTAAATTTAGTAAAGTCGTTTTGAAGAAGCAATCTCACTAGAAGATATTCCAGAACATAATTTACTTATTAATGCCACAAGAAAATTTGATTTTTGAACTGATTATTTGTACAAAATTGAGCAGTATCTTACAATGAAATTTGAACAACTGAATAGACAAGTCCAGGATATACCATATTTTTCAGACTCTAAGACGCTCTGGTCTATAAAAAGCACTTAGCTTTTGGGGAGGAAAACAAGAAAAAAAATCTGCCTCTGCCTCCTAGCATCCATCTGGTATTCATCTGGCCCATTCGCTACAGCCCGTTCACCATGGCACGTTTGCCACCAACCCCCGTTTGCCATTCCCTGTTCGCTACCACTCCTCCGCTGCCCCTTTGCTGCTGCTGCAGCCATTTGTCGCAGCCAGTTTTCCTCTCCCACTGTGGCCCATTCACTGCCGTGGCCCGTTCGTCGCCACCATGGCTCCGCTCAACACCACCACTGCGGCCCATTCTAGAACAGCTAATCAGCGGTGCACCAACCCCCCCATCACAATATTTGCTGTATAAGACGCAGAGACATTTCCACCCACACTTTTGGGAGGGAAGTGTATCTTATACTCCAAAAAATGCGATAAATGGTATTTGAAATAATATAACCAATCACTCTCTTGCTGGTGAGGGGATTGAACTCAGTGACCTCATTTGATATTTCCAACTCAGCGATTCTCCCTTAATCTCATAGCAATTTACCTTTACTACCATCGACAGTTAATATAAAAGGACCACTTGTTGAACAGATATGGTAACAAAGTAGGATTAATACAAACAAAAATGTGCCCAATGAAATTGTATGATTGTTCTTTCTCAACATATAGTCATTTTGATTCAGAAAGATGAGTACCATTTTATACATGCAGTAATTTTGAATGCATACCTATCTTCTCCAGTACAATAATCCAGTTCTTTTTAACTAACTGAATTTGTGGATGAATTTAAGGTTTGAGGTATATTGGATTTACATGCTGCCCTTTTCCCAAGGACTTAAAGTATTCAAAAAAACCCCAATTGATATGTACAATAAAAATTTAAAAGTTAAATTAAAATTAACAACCAAATTAATCCTGTATTTTATTCTATTCAGCCAGGCCAGCTTGCTGGAAAAGCCAACTTTTTAGGGCGTGTCGGAAGGAGCAGAAGTCAGGGATTATGTGAAGTTCCAGGAGCAGCTCATTCCAGAGGGAAGGCGCTCCCACAGAGAAGGCTCTCCCTCTGGGGGTCGCTAGCCGGCACTGTCTGGACGACGGCACCCTGAGGAGGCCAACTCTGAATTTAAATGTCATTTAGCTACCACTGTTGATTGAAGCTGCTGAAATGTTATGAAAAACTTTCAAATCATCAAAAATGAAACAGCTGCTTTAAAAAAATAACACTTTAAAAAGTTAACATTGCAAACTCACACCCAATAGCGGCTTTTTGCTAGTTGTTAATATACCTGCTAATTGAAACTGGAGAAACCTGCAAATTGTCTGTGCCAATCTCCATATTATTTCCAAAGATCTCAACAGTTTAAGATGAGCTCTTGAGAAAGCTTGTAGAATTGCAGATAAGAAGACTGACAAAATCTAGGTGTGCTAGCAAAAAACCTTCACTATTAGGTACATTATCCTACACTGGCAGTACAAATAAATTGTAAACTTTGATAGTCAGCTATACAACAAGTTAAATAAGGTTAAGGTTAAGGTTTATTGTATTTATAAACAGTAACTTGTTTATACAAAAGGTCAAAGGAAGTTATACTAACAGACATGTTTTAAAAATGTTCTAAAGCAGGGCTCCCCAACCCCTGGGCCACAGACCAGTAGCGGTTCCATGGCCCATCAGGAACCAGGCCATGCAAGTGGTAAGCAAGCAAGTGAAGCTTCATCTGCCCATGTGCAGAATCTAGTTTATATGCAAAACCATCCCCACCTCCCCCAGTCCATGGAAAAATTGAAAGGTTGGGATTCCTGTTCTAAAGCAATAGCAATAGCAATAGCAGTAGACTTATATACCGCTTCATAGGCCTTTCAGGCCTCTCTAAGCGGTTTACAGAGAGTCAGCATATTG